TTTAGATTCTAGACCTCGTAACATGATTTACGAAAGAAGGCCATTGACGCTAGCTATTGTAAAAGAGTAGGTAAATAATTCAACCAATAAATAATTTCCCTAGTTATGTCTCTGGTAAAAGATAGAAATTGCCCTCTTGCGTCTCCCAAATTATGCTTAAGATGGAAACGTTATGCATAGAAGTCTGTGTCTCCAAAAGTCAGATGTATAAAAAATCAAGTTTTTTTTTAGTGTTAGAAAAGAAATGAGACACAAGTTAATTTCATTAATTCTTTCAACGTTAAATAAGTCTATTTAAAACATCTCCTGAAGGTTTCATACACTAGCTGTCACATAGAAATTATACAGCCCGTGTATGAAGAGTTTAAAATGCTGCTTAGCAAAATTATACAGTACGAAACAATTCCACATCGACCGGTGAAATTACATTAACTACGTCACACTACGGTCAATGTACATACGTATTTATAATTATATGTTTTCATTAGCTAACTTAGGAGTTTACTATAACTGTCTATGTATGTGTATATATATACAGCATAAATGCTTTAAAACTTATAAAAATACGTTATTCTGAAAAGAAACACGATGTTTAGTGTAGTAGCCAGGAGAGGTAAAGGACTGCACGCTGGACATTCAAAAATAAAGGTCTGATAGAAAGGGAATTGTTTGCGTTAAACGTAGCTGGACACAATCACAGTTTTTGGCGGGATATGTTCATAGCTTGTAAATGATAAACAAAACATTGCGTGTATTAAAAATCAATTTTCAGTAACCATGGAAATGATTACGTAATTACCATAAACAATATCTCAATAAACTCCACCAAATTTCCACTAATTCCTCGACTCCTAAAACCTCCATACAGGGACAAGAAAACGACACTAAGAGGTGTACAGATCCCCCCCTCCCCCTCCACACACACACACACACTTGTAAGCAGCAGAACTGACTTCCTTTTTACCGAACAAAACATGTATATGTAGGGTGCGCGCCAGCCAGAACTGAAGACAGATGGGAGGGAACTTGTTACTCGGCTTTGAAAATCATTTGGTGTTTGTATAGGACTAACCTAAGGCGATGACTTTTCACCAAAAGAACAACAGTCATCTCGTACTTTATCAAGAATGTTGGAAAGATTGAAATATATAATTAATGGTTTGTTCTGGGTTTTTTCCTTCCGATACTGAGCGCACATTAAACATGGAGACTGTTTTCATTGCCGGTAGAACATTTTTTAAGAATCGCGTAGCATCGATTAGAGACGAGGCTTTAATTAAGTTTAACTAAACTTTTGAATACGAAATATCAGCTAATTTTAAAGCCTACCCTTCAGCAATAAGAGCTAATTCACTTATGAGGGCTGACATTATTATATAGATAATGATATCTACAAGTATACAAATATTTGGTTCTGATAAATTCTGATGTTCAGCTGGTGTATATCGGTAACGGTTGAACAGCTAACTAGGCCTGATGAAACGAACAAGTCTAAACCACGACCTCTTTGAAAAAAAGTAAGGGTGCGATATTTTTAGCTGAAATTTTTGTTTTACATTTGTTTACACATATGCACCGATCAAATAACGAAACTAGTGGATAATGTTCAATAAAAACCAGATCGATGGTACAAATCAATAAAAAATTAAATGAAGAAACAAGCTAGGAAATATGTTTTATCAAATTAGGAATCAGTTTTACTTCTGCGGTATTTGATTGTTCTGCACTAGTGAAATGCTTGAACGTGGGAAATTATAACATGCCATCTGTATTATTCATGTTTTATCTTACGTATCATTAATGCCATCTCCCATCCTCTTATCCTTAACTTTATCTTCCGTTCTAGTTATGGTGAAGTATTATTCTGAGTAGTGAAAATTATTATAATTTACTATTGAATGAAATAACAGAAGGTAATTAGCTAATTTACGCTTGCCTGTGTCAGGTAACTGAAGCATCGTTCCAGACAGTATATCCAGTGTTTGTTCTAGTTATTGTTCAATGACTAACTCAACGAATTAAAACAAAAAATAAACCCGTACTATACCCACAAGGTAAAGAATTGCAGTCTGGCTTACAGCTACGTTTAGCAGAAAGGTAACAGGTTTTATTAACTGCAAGCAATGACGTCCTCCACATTGAAAAACCAACAGGAATCACAATATTTCTAGCAACACAAAACTAAATATTGAAGGAGGTCGATCGACTTTTTTTTTTTCTTTTATGCCACACAGTGATTTAAACCTTACATAGAACAATAAATGATCTTCATAACTAATTTCCAAAACAAATATTAAAAAACATTGATTTATTTCTATTTTTACGCCACATTTATAAAACTTGCTAGAAATTTTACGATGCTTCAATTCTAAAAACCCTTCAAGTTTCATGTAGTTCTGTTTTTCAGCAAGAATCGTGAATTTTTTGTTCCTTAAATTTCATTTGTGCACACAAGTAACACTAAAAACGGTTTGTTTCAACACTCCCAAACATATAAGAAATTATGTTAGTTTTAAATTTTTTAATACTTTCCATATACAATAAGTAAAATGAATATTAAAACAAATAAAATCATCTACCATACAAAAGTTTCTCTACATGGTGGGGAAATATAGCACTAAAAGTATTTAAACCTCTTAAAATATTCTTTATTTTTAGCCACTAAATTAAAGAAACAAACAAAAACATTCATAGATCAAATTTAAACTCTAATCGCTTCTGCGCACTAGAGTCATTTAGTGGATGTTCTATACATGTACGAGCGTCGACTAGGGAACCTATATTTTTTGGTTAATATGTATGTATATATAGACAGAAATTCGCAACCATCATTTCAACAGTCTTTTATGTGTGTGTATATAAAATTCAGTTTTTGAATTCTGACTGACTAATGTAACAATTTATAACATCAGTTTACAAAAGGTAACACTTAAATATTTTACTTTTTTTCAAGTCTCCAATTATTTTTGAGTGTCCAATTTATCAAACATCCACTGCCTACGGCGAAAAGGTAAATAAGCAATTAAAGCAGACACCGGATGCATTTCCCCCCTTCCCTCTCAAAGATTATGGACGTGTAAAAAAATAAGAAAACAGTGTGGCCTTCACGCTGTAGTTCGCGTACAATGCCAAACCAGTGTGGGAAAATGGTCACTCGTTCAGAATCATGCATTACCCAGTACGTCTCTAACCATGATGTTCGAAGATTCTAGTCTAGTACATTAACTTGTGCTAAATTCTGAAGTTGCTCATGCGTGTTCTTACAGATTTTCAATGCTGGGAAACATAGAACTTGCCTAAAGCAACTTTAGAGAAAAAATAAAAAGTTATTACGAGTCCTTCAATGTATGTGTCATTATATACACATCTCAGAAACACGATGTAATATTCATCCGTCGCTTAACAGTAGTCTTCAAAACAGTGGACAAAAAGCTGTCATAGAAGTATTGTTTAAGCTTGTAGTCATAATACAGGTAGTTTTAAGCTTAATACTTATACTATATGTGTAGAGATGAAGAAAACGTGTACTTCGTTGTAACAAAATCTTAAGGGTTCGCCCACTTAATTTTTTTTTAATATTGTTATTCGTATTAACCGAAAGAGAAAAATGAATAACGTTCTCCGTGTGTATGTGTGTGTGTTTATACTTTATTAACTTCTAGAGGGTTGATATTTCAAACAAAAGTACACATTTACTCTCTTTTCTTGGACCCCCACCCCCTTGTAAACATCAAATATTACTCTGAAATCAATCCCACCCTCTCACCCCCACCCGTTTAGCAAAGCCTTTGCATTCACACTTTCTTCTGTATTATAAACATTCCTGGGGTGTGATAACTATTTTAAAATGAATGATAAAAAGCAGCAACGTTGAAAAAAGCGATTTATGCATAAAACACACACACACACACACACACATATATATATTTATATATATAAAGCTATAATTCTTGCTTTCTCCTACACATATTTATACCGTATTTTCAAAAGGGGTGGGGAGACACTAAAACATAAATTATACTTCAGAAATAAAAATAGCACTATATTAACACAACAACATACTTTCAACTACCTTTCACTTAAACTTTTAACCACCAATACCTTTGAGTACGTTGATGTAAGAAAAAGGGCTGCATTAGACGACTATTTTGATGTTTTACCATAACAGCAGCAATACGTAGTTTCTGTCACACGTTGGAGTTACAATTTTGATGTTTTAACATAACAGCAACAATACGTAGTTTCTGTCACACGTTGGAGTTACAATTTTGATGTTTTAACATAACAGCAACAATACGTAGTTTCTGTCACACGTTGGAGTTACAATTTTGATGTTTTAACATAACAGCAACAATACGTAGTTTCTGTCACACGTTGGAGTTACAATTTTGATGTTTTAACATAACAGCAACAATACGTAGTTTTTATCATACATAGGGTTACAATTTTGTTCGTTTTCAGTACCTCCACTATAAAAATGTTTCCAGCATTAATGCAGCAATAGATAAGTTCTTTAGCTTTAAACATACTGACAGAATAAATAAATATACTGCTATCTAACAAAAGGGTTTATTTATGTGATACAGAGTTCGTATTTAAGTGTACGTGTGCATGTATTATTCAATTAATTTACTGCTTCATAACAAACACTTCATAAAAATCTGGCATAAACTTATAGTAGTTTTTGTTGCAGTTTGGTTTAGAGGTTCAAAGCATATTAATCTGCATATGTAAGTCAAAAACTGCATTATGCAAAAACTGATAGCCTAATGGCATGTAATTAGATTAGATTGTGGTCAGCACTATTTAAATTATAACTGAAAAAAAAAACTCGTATCCTGACTGCTAAACCTTAGCAAGTTAATCAAAATTACATTTCTTACTTACAAGTGATCGTTTCTCATCACGCACACAACGATCTTTCACATGTTTGTCAATATGCTATGAATCATAACACCTGATACACTAGGAAAACCTATCAACACTAAATAGAAACTTACATTTTTATTCCTGGTAGTTAAAAGAGATCCTTTCCCGATTATAACATTTTCTCCTTCGAAAAATATTCCAGAAGGATGAGGCAAATCGGCACCTAATCCTGGATCCTCAAATTCCAAGTCTTCATCATCTAAATCATTTCCATCAGTTTCTACCATCATACCATTTACAAGACCGTTTTTACTTTCCTTGCCGTCCACGCGGACTCTCCTGGCAACTTTTATCGGTTTACATCCAAAAGGCGCAGGTGTCAAGGCTACGTTAGCCTTGACACTCTTTCCTCTAAAGTCAAACACAACGGATGATGTTGATGGAGGTGGTTTCTGCCACGTAGGTTTTTTGTTTCCTATTAATGCAGTTGGTTTAAGAATATCGCCTGCTTCGGAATCGGTAAGAGGTGTTATCTTATTTGCAGCTAATGGGGAGTCTGAACGGTTTACATCAACATTCTTACTGGTGGATATACCCTCCAACTCATCGCCCTTTACCTCCACGGGAACCATCTTCACTTCGTCGCCTTTCGTAATAATAGCATGAGAAGTAGACCAGTTTTCTTTGGAACTATGAACTGAAGCACTCTGGCTTGACTTCGGAATAGGTTTAATGTTAGCCACTGGTTTTTCGTCTAGCTTTCGTTGCACAGGAGGAGTGACCTTCGATGAAACGTCAGATATGAAAGCACAGCTTGAATTAGTTATGGCTGCAGGTTCGCTCCCTTTTTCAACACCACCTTCTCTGGCGGATTTTACACCTCCAAAGGTCATGTTTAAATTTGCCGAACTAATTCGATCTAAAGTGTCTTTTGTACTACTCACAACGTCGTTTTCTTCGTGACCATCATTCAACACCAAATAAGTTCTTTCTTTAGTCACCTCAGTTTCAAAATGCGTTTGGGATTGATTCCCGTTTGTAAGTGGTTCTTTGGCACTGTGTTTGGCATATTTATATTTACTCTTACAACTAGATTCTACCCCATCATTCTGACTTAAGTCTTTTTCTTCATTGTCCTGTTGTTTGCTAATAGGTTGAACGATTGCGGTTTCCTGGGGACTACAGCTGGTGATAGTATTAACACATTTACTACCTGTAGACGTGGTAATGGCTCTCACTACAGGCGGTTTTCTTCTGACATTACTCTGAGTTTTAGATTTTTTATCTAATGGTTCAAATAATCGCTTATAATTGCGTACAGTATCTGGTTTAGGAAGCTCGTCATCAGTAATGCTTGGGGTTGATGTTTGGCGATTAAGATCTCTACGTTTAAACACTTTTTCCATACTTGATGCATTATGTCCTTGCGTATTGGCTTTGTTTTCGATTATCACAACATCTTCGTTGACCAGCATGGAGCGAGGAGAATGGCTAGATCCAGGAAACTTGACAGTCACTTGGTTTGTTACCCTGAGAGCTGGCTGAGGAGTAATAGGAAACAAACTCCGTTTACGAGATTGATCTGATTCCAGTAACAATGTCTCCATACTTTTAACTTTTTTCAAATTACTGTAATTCAAACTTGAATTACCGTTCGCTCTGTTTCCTGCGACAAATAGCCGATCTGGGGCTGACAGTCCAGTGGCCTGGAACATAGTAGTGTCCTTATCGAGAAGGTTTTCCATACTAGAATAGCGCCTCAAAACCCCTTCAATTTTGAAACGTTTCTCTTTCAGGGAAATACTAATAAACTTGGATTTAAGCTTGTCCACAATCCCAGGGCCATATTCCAACTCCCTCTCACTCTCATCGGAAGATGACGGCTGATAATGGCTAAGGTCGCTAAAGGTGGACGAAGAAGTAGGGCTATTCATTTTAGATCGTTCAGAAGTGGACCCGTATCCGTTCACTTCACTTTGCTCGTTCAAATTAGGCGTATAATCTTCGCCCATTTTGTCAGCTGGCTTTTTGGTAGTTAACGACGCTCTAGAATCACTTGTTGAAGTATGGCCATGCCCAACACTCGAGCTACACTGCAGAAAATCTAACTGGGGTCCTCTCTTTAAAGGAAACAACCCTGAACTACTGGCGCTAACTGGTACACCAGATATCATTTCAACTTTCGTTTGGACGCTTTCCTCTGTGCCTGGCACACTGCCCCCTCCTCTGGCCTGTATGCCTACTCTATGGAATGTGAGCGCGCGTGACGCCGCAAACTCGTCAGGACGTGTGTATAAGCCACCCGGGGTGTTCACATTGCTCGTTTCGGCTTTAGAGGGGTGAATAACCTGTGAGACAGCTTTGGTCCCCTCACACTTTGACTCTTGCGTGGACTGTTTCAACGGTTCACCACTCGAGGCTGCGCGGTTTCTGTCTACCAGCATAACAAGAGAAGAACTAGCCCGGCCAGCAGCCCCTTTCTTCATCATCAATTCTTTTAGCCATTCGGGCTTATCACTATCTTCTGCAGAGTTCCGTTCACCATCAGAAGTGTACATGGTTGGTGACTGAGACCCACCCTGGAAATGGCCTCCTGGCATAGCGATAACGCTTTGTCTCCTTCCTTCCTAGCTCGGCCTACAAAAAAAGTGTCAATAATCAATGTTGTTCTCTGTTTTAAAGAATGAACTTTTGTTATAGGAAGCTGAGGCAACAAATTAAAGGTAAGTCTGATTCATATTCTGTAAAAGTATATGTGTGTGATTCTATGCACTCTTCAGTAAGTTAAAAACACTATTTTCTGTTAAAATATACAATAATTTTACAATTAAAAAGTTGGTAATGCATTAATCAGAACGAACTGTAATAGAACACAAACAACTTCACAATTCTGAATTAAAACAGTGTACAAATTGCTACTGTTTTTAATCACACACTTCATAAATATTCTACCAATGAAACAGTGCTCTTAAAACTGTGTAAATTACGTCTTTTATCCTGAAAGTTTACTTTTATAAGATATACCGTGACTAAGTAAATCTAACATATTTGTTAATATAGTGTATGTAAACCAAACGGAAAAGGAGGTGGGGGCACGTGCTCCTGCCTTGTGTTAGGCGCTTATGTATCATATTACAACAACATAAGCTATGTATAACAAGTATTATTAAATTCTGCTGTGTTAATGTTATACGTTATATTTTACGTTCATTTATACAAATTACTCTACTTGGCTGTATAAGCATACGCTCATTATTGTATATTTCGTGACACATCTAATGATCCTGATAACAATTATAACATTAACAGAAACACTATTGAAACGAAAGAGTATTTTTATTCAACTTAACAATATTTAAAACAAAAATTATTTAATAAACTATTTTTATGTATATTATAGCACTCAATTTATTACACACTATCTTAAGATTTTTAGTTACAGGTATGAAATATATGTATATGACTATATCGATGTTATTAACGCTATAGCTTACCTTACATATTGTAAATTCTAGGCTTATTGGCTATCACAGTATCATTATCAGACATGTTAATACTAAGCAAGTCAGAACTGACGAAATGTGTTTGAAAATTAAGAACTTGGTTCTACTAACAAACTTTTTGGAGACAATAAAAATAATCTTACTTTTCATTTGCAATGCATATGTGATTTTAACCTAAATAGAATGAAAAAATATCCGATATTAATATTCTAGTCTTTCATGCTCATAATTACTACCACTAGTACTACTACTATTACTAACGTTAGTCATACTACACTACCGAGTACTAGTACGAAGCACCAGCCTTGCAGTTGGTATTTTTGTCTTTAGATTTCTACTCGTAAGAATTTGATCTATCCCCAAGTAACAACATTAGTGCAATCGTTAAATAAATGAGGATAATACACGGGTAACTAGAAGTTAAAAATATTTACTGTAACTCCTAAAAAATGATTTTACCAACCTGTTCGTTTTCCGCCCCGAAAATTAGGGTAGTAGTTGCATGGCAGTGTAGCCAGAAACGACAGCCTAGTAAATTACACTGGTATAAAGAATACCGTATATAGTGAGTAGAATGAGAACAAACTAATCAATAATGAGTCAACTTTAATATAAGTATTTAAATTTTCGTTCAAATTCGTTGCCTTCGTGTTTTACCATAATATAAGAACAAAATTAACACAAAAAAGGTTAAGATCATAATTGAAATTTAAAATAATCGCTGTTTTGAGAGTATGAACGATCTGATATGACGTCATGTAAGTTTCGTGTTGCCATCTTTTGACCATAGAACAACTTAAATTTTTATTTATGATAATGTCAAACAAATTTAAGTTCGTTTAAAGATCAGCTCTCAGGTACAGGTTAATGGTTATGACTGTGTGAAAAGTTTGAAATTATAAAATTTTGACGATAGAATCACTATAATACAAATGGAATCAAATATGTCAATTCGTACATTTTTTTTAGAACTGGATTTTTTAATCCGTAAAAAGGTAATTCTGTAATAACTAAATAACAGTGAAGAAAATGAACAATTAATAGAGATACAAATTTCAAATAAGACTCCCATACATACATTTATAAATGTTGTTTTGTTTATTTTTGAATTTTCGTGCAATGCTACACAAAGAGGAAGATAGCTAGCTGCTCAACAACATCCACTGTCAATTTCAGGCCTAGTCTGATCGGATACTAGGATTTGACCGACACAGGACACACACACCCTATATATACTAAAACTTTAATTTTTATGACAAATGTAATTTTCACCTACAGAATGTAAAGAAAGTAGAAATGCTACTTCTACGGTTTATAGTTTATTTTCAAGTTATTATACGCATAAAAGTACGTCAATAATTAAATTGTTTACAAAAGTTTTATTAACCATTCAAGTTTGTTTTTAAAGTGCAAAGCCATACAGTGGAATAAATAACTCCACTGTGGACACCGCATATATCGAATGCCGATTTTCAGTACTATATGCCGTCAAGTATCATTTAGAATTTTATATTTTTACATCAATAGCCTAACAACTTTGAACTGAAACATTTTTACAATTTGGTTTTTTCAGGATAATGGTGTAACTTTTGTGGAACCTTGGAAACATTCTTCAAAGACTATGTGAACAAGGATTTTTTCAATCTATTTATATATGGTTTTACAATTCAATTTCTTTCCCAAAAGAGTATGCTCATTTTTTTCTCAATGTACAACTTACTATTTTTTCTCTACTTGTGTGCTCAAGTAGCACTGCTAACCTTTGATAATTTGTTTATATAATTCATCGATATTATGAAATTTTTATGAGGACGAAAAAAAGGGAATTAATATAATTTGATGGGAAAACGGTATATTAACTATAGTTCAAAATATTTATCTAAAATAGTGGTATTTCAATAAAAGAATACATGTTTTTCAGCGTAGATTATTATTAAGATGTAAACTATTTTTAAGTATTGTAAATACACACATTTATCCTTCATAGATTTAATATAAAACGATTAAGTTATGGAAGTTTGCATGAATAGTTTTCTATATTTTTGTTTGTTGCTATAATGTAAGTATCAAGTAAAATCAATGCACTCTAAAGCAACGAGAGCTTTTCAGTTTATTTTGACGAGATAATTACAAAGCCAAAATTAATTTCACGTTAACCATAACAGTTAAAGATGCTTTATTTAACATTTATGCTTTCAGGGTTTGTTAGCAAGTGTTTTTATCAGAAATATTTTAAATGTCTTATCGTGATATGAATCTGTAATGGTTTGTTTAAAATACAGCCTTGTCTAGAAATATAACAGTATAAAGAACTACAGATATAAAATGTAGTAATAAAAGTTCATAATTCTGATTTTAAAAGGTATATTTTTATTATGGTAACTTTAAAATTCCTATACAAGTAAAAGATACAATGAATGAAAAAAAACTAAAAACAGGGATGTTTATAATTCAATTTTAAATAAATATCAGAAATAATTCCCATTAACTGCAGATTACATCATCTTAAAACAGCAAATAAAAACAAGAAGTTACAGGTACATAATGATGAAAACCTTTGTTCTCTAATGACCAGATACCCAATGAAATGCAAGCAGGATATAGATTCTTCAATTTGTGGAACTCTTGGGTGTATGTCCTACTTTTGTAAAACAATTTTTATTTTGATCAATATAGCCAGCTTACCTTTTTTGGAAATCTTTGATAATTTTAACAATTTTGAAATGTTGGTAACAACACAGAAATATATATAAAAGATCATCATCATATGACATTTATTTTTCTTCATCTTTTATTCATGAATTACAAATTGCTACAAAATATTTTTTTGGATAGAAAATCAATGAGACAGCATTCTTTCATCCTAATAACAAGAATATTTTTATATATTCCATTTTAAATCACCCAACAGATAGCAGCAGCTACTAATCTTTGAAAGATTATCATATTCAGTTTATTTTCTTTAATTTAACCTAAGTTAATCCGATCTACTTGAAAACTGAAATAATTCCAGTAAAAAACAAAAAAACATCACTTCGATTACTCTATTTAAAAATTTGTTTTAAACATTTATAAATGTCCCTTTTTTGTAAAAAGGCTCAAGATAACTTTTGAACCTTTATGTATATGAAAGTGTTACTTATTGAACACGAAAGTAGTGAATCTTTTTTTTGTATTTAATTGTTACAGTAAAAAAAAGGATTCACGTATTTGACACAGTTATTAATATTGTGAGAATGAAACTCTAGTGACCAAAGGAAAAAATTATTCTTAAAACCACAATCCCTATTGATCGATACACAATAACTTGATGTGTGAATAATAGTTTACCAAAAATAAAAATTATTTGACCATTATATATGGTTAAATTCTAACTTTAAACTTAAATAAATTATGGTGATGGCTTTAAAATTAATATTACACAGCATATGTTAGTTCTTGCTCAAAGTGCATAAGTTTAAATAGATTATCTTTAAGTAAGTACATCAGACCTACTTTTTTCTTTTTTAAGAAAAATTTGTACGAGCAACTCATTAACGAAAATAGCTGTATATACATAAGTAGTCTATGTAAGTAAAAAAAAAATAAGTGTATATTAAAAAGCATCATAAAATATGGTAAATGTGCAACCTGATTCAGAACAGGTAATACTGTAAAATGATTCTCATTACAATTGATCTGGTCACAGCAAGAATAATTTTTTTGACTAAATTTACACTATACCTAAACCCTGTTTATACATAGAATATTTTTTATTTTACAGCACAATACATAGTTATAGATTCATTGCAACCATAGGCAAAATATTTTTCAGCTTGGTCTGTTTAGCTACATCAGTTCTTAAATTTTATGATTTGAATGATACAAACTGTTATTTATAAAAGCAATTTCTAATTTTAATTTTAGGATTTTTTTTTTTCATGTATACTTTAAGTTAACTAGGAATGAATTCAATAAGCTTTTCTTTGCTTATATTTTTAATTTTGTAAATATTAAAATAAAGATTTACATGATTAGAACAGAAGTTTAAAATTCTGTATTTTTGTATTTATTACTTTAATGAAACTTGTTTTAAAGTATCCAAAGTTCAAAATCCCAATCTCATAGTTTCAGTGCTTTTTTTTCAAATGTTGTTTTGACTTCTTACTTAATATTATAATCATATATTTGCTAAAAGTTATGAATTCTTAATATCAAAATATAGAAATTAGAAGCAGAAATAGTGATACTGATGGAAAGGAATAGTAAATGAAATCCTTTAAAATACTAAAATATCTATTGTTTATTTGTTTCAGAAAATCATTCAAAGCAACACAAGGGTTACCTGCAATAGGCATCCCTAATTTTGAACTGATAGACTAGAGAGAAGGCAGCTAATCAACAGGACCTCACTAACTCTTGGGTTATTCTGATCAAGTAGTTTTATTTTACTGCTACTCTTATAATGCACCCATAACAAAGGATTCAAGTTCAGGTAGATTTAAACACTGTTAATATATTTTAAAAAATGCACATTAAAGCAATTTGAAACAAATTTTGTGACTTATCATTATAATGTTTAGTTTTCTAAAAAAGTTCTAAACTTCAGTCATTTACAGCTAGAGTATAAGACAAAACCAATACCATATAAACACTCTACACTAAATGTTTACGGAATAAGTCAGAGCAAGAATATGGTAAAAGGCACTATAATTTTAATCAACTGAGAAGGATGTGTTTGCTTGACGATCTTGTTTATCAGCTAACTAGTTATTTACTCTCTGTAAAAATAACATGCAGTAATAGAGAAAGAAATAGAGGAAGTTTTAAGTAACTCTTTGATAATAATACGGACTTAGGGTATTTCACTATTACTTACTAGTCATTATACAATTGCATTAGGTTTTGGGAAACCCAACAGAGAAACGTAACAATATTCCTCAAGACCTCTAAAGCAGTGATATTCCAACTATCTTGCTTGTGGACCACCTGAATGTTTTTTTACTTTAGAGGACCACAATGAGATCTATTCACATGTTGCCACTTCCTTTCCTTAAACATGCAATATTTCCAAGGAAGTCTGGTGACTGAGAACCACTGCTCTAAAAGAAATGACAAATGAAATCACTAACAACAACACAAAAAGTCTAAATGCATAAAATACAAATAATCTGGATATAGCTTGTTTGTTGTTAAGCACAAAATTAAGCTATACAATAGGCTATCTTAATATTATAAACCCTCAGACTTACTGCTCAACCACCAGAGTAACTCTGAGTATAATAAAAAAAAAAGACACTTGAGTAAAGAAACACATTATGCTAATATAATAGTAGCTTGACTGACATTGATTTATAAACATAATCATGAAAGGGCAACAAAATGAGTCTGTAATTGTTAAAAATCACTATAATTATGTTACAGAAAATAAATAGACTAATAAAGTGTAATTAGAGAAATGTTAAAAAGCATTATTGTTTACATAAAATATGTGATGTAAATACTTAATTTGAAAAATATATCCCAGCTACTTAATGAGGAAGTAGATTGGTGCAAGTCAAGAAATACTTGCAATTATGAAAATAAAAAATAACACTTAGTGTACAGCAATTAAGAGGATAGATGAGATTAAAACTAAAGAAAAACTCAGGCAAGAAATGTTAAGATTGTAGTAGAAATATACTAATGAAAAATTTTTGTTACTGGATGCAAATACGCATTCTGTGGAATGTCACTCGCTTGGTAAAGTGAAGACAAACATGGATACTGGAGAATGTTGCTTGTCTGGTAAAGTGGAGACAAATACAGATACTGGGGGATGTCACTCGCCTGGTAAAGTGAAGACAAACATGGATACTGGAGAATGTTGCTTGTCTGGTAAAGTGGAGACAAATACAGATACTGGGGGATGTCACTCGCCTGGTAAAGTGTAGACAAATACAGATACTGGGGGATGTCACTCGCCTGGTAAAGTGTAGACAAATACAGATACTGGGGGATGTCACTCGCCTGGTAAAGTGA